AGCTGTAAGAATATGGGTTCACAAGCTCCTTAGAGTGTGTCATTCGAGGTCTTTAGCTATAAATTCGCGCTAACCCTGCTTCTTCAAGCTCGCATATGATCAGTTTGCTGATCGAATCCAATCGGAAAGCCTTGATGTACAGAATTCTTTGAAACTAGCAGTTTAGACGAACCTTTTAAATAGTATGGCTCCCCCTTTTGCTCTTTTCTGCATACTCTTCCCGTCTGCACTTCCTTCTACTGAACTGGCCAAGCTGATTATTCCGTAGTTAGTTGAAGCTATTCCTGTCCACACGCTCCAATCGGACTATAAGCCAAGTGAGGTGGTCCTTTAATCTCAAGGATAGAGTGCCTGTCCACGCCCAAAATATGTTAGTTTACTCATTCTCTTGCTGCTGTGCAGCGGAATACATCGGACGCACGACCAGGCAACTCGGCCAAAGAATGAAGGAATACAATCCACCCTGGCTAGCTTCTGGAACGAGGAGGACGATAACCAGCTCTGTAGTACAACATTTAGCTGACACTGCACACAACGTGATACCCAGCCAAAGTTTCCGCGTTATTTACAAGGCGCCGGCTAACCAAGCCAGATCAGTACAGCAGCGCACAATTGCAGTGGCTGAAGCTATCGCCATACGACATCGCGACCAGATCCTTTGTCGGCGAAAATGCTTTATTCATGTGTTGTACTTACCATGGTCCAACTCACCTGCCCTCACACACGCACCTTGTGCTGAACACCCTCGAGCTGACTAGCTAAGGTCATCCTATTGGTGACCTGAACCAATTGTTCTTTGATAGGTAGCCTATGTCGTCTCACTCGATTTCCTGACATTTCTTTAATCAATTTCCCAATGCCCAAACTGTTACACGTTTATTTTGTATTCTTTGAGATTGTAACGCATGCAAAATTGATCTCGCAGTTTTCATGGTGTTTTTCTCAATTTGGTTTACGACCGAATCACAGCATTTCAAATTGAAACATACTACTTATATAAAAAATGCATTTTTGGAAAGACTACGCAGTCTCTTGTTAATCCCAGTTCTGGACACTACAGTGGATAGTTCGATCCAATTTGAATTCGCTTGCTAAGTTTTTTCGGGTCAACATGTGCGCTGGACGAAAGTTGTTGTGACCCATAAGTTGTTGAAGTAACTCTTAAGCAAGCCCAGACAGCAGGTGAGTTCAGACCAATCACCGATTATTGATTGTGTAACCAAGATTACCGTACACTCTACTGTGAGCACTTTTTGCCCTGTGATGAAAATATCTACCGAGACTGATGAGTGAGTGATTGGCACAGTTCAGATTTGTTGTGTGAATGACAAGCTCGTGGTAAACCTGTTTTTCTAATCAATATTCTGCTCCACAATTGCATATTTGCCCCAGGTTGGTGGAAATGACTTAGTTGTTTGGCTCATTTGATACGAAGATAAAAACCATGGAATACGGCTTTCGCTGCTATCTTTTTTGCTTCCAGTCTGTCCCTCACTTTGTATTTTCACTTTCCCCATCGTGTACCTTACATTTTAGACTGCATCACAAAAATGCATGAGTAGTGCATTACGTTTTTACGAATATCGTAGAAAACATGAGGCGGCCTGGTGCAGCACATTCAGTTGCCTGAGAACATCACAAACGAGAGATTCAGCTGGGTTTCGGGTGAGTCTCTCGTCAAACCAAATTAGTTTGCAAATGAGTACATATTCGCTAATTTCGTGCAATTTGGTTTCAAGTAGAACGGAAACTCGGGGACTGTACCCCAAAAAGGGCGAAACCGGTCGTGGGCATTCGACGAATTTTAAGCAACCTTATGAGTAGTGCATTGCGTCTATTCGAGTCCTTCCGTGAATCTGAAAAAAAACCACCGAACAAATCCGTGGTTGTCAGTAAGAGTTATTTTCCGAAATATCCGATTGGAAATACGCAGCTTTGGTAAACTGGAGTACCAACAAGGTGGAAATGCAGCTTGACTGGTTATTTTTTGTGTGGATATTCTCAGAGCCGAGTGTCTATTGTTGCCACTCGGAAACAGAGCCACGTCTCTCTGGGGTTTTACAAGCAGCAGGAACGCAATGGAACGGGCACACCAACAAAGGCCTCTCTCTCTTCCGCTCCCCCCTATTCCTAACGCAGCAAAAAAATGTTGGTCGCACAGACGGTACAAACATTCCAACAATGTTTTGTAAATGTTTTTCCGTGATTTCTACGTACCAGGTGTAGCTGAGTAGTGGGGAGAAAGAAATTACTCTTGAAGGTGACCAGTCACACAGGTGGTCTTCCAGCTACGAGGTACACAGAAAATGCGACGTTTTCTTTCCGAAACAGCCGACCACCTGCAAAGGGACCAGGGCATTGGATTTATGTGTGAGTGTACCAATCCACAATTTGTCTTGCCAGTGGGGTTACTTTATGCTGAAAAACGAAGCTGTTTTATCCCTGTTGTGCACATCTCACAGATATCCAGTTGGAAGTTTCGAGCCCGCGAATTCCCGGATATTCAGTTGAACATCTGACTGTTCGTCCACAATTTGTTTTCGAAACCAACTATTTACACAAGGGTAAGCAAATGTGTACAACAAACCTCAACTGTTCGCGTTCATAGTGTCAGCAAGTTCACAGGTCTGTCACTGACCGGCACAGGGCAGTATCAACGCCGCACACCGAACAACGGCGAGCGAATGATGGCTCAGTAACGTGGGTTGCGGTCTTCCATTCCGACGACGGTCTCGTGATTCCCATTGGACGTGCGATCACGCGGAACCCATGAGAAAACAAGTCAAGGCAGTCAAGGCTCAACAAACGGGACATGAACGCACATGGGTAAGGAGGTCAGCTGCGCACATCCACACACAGACACACATTCCAATACGCAAGTGTCGGACAGGATGGCCTCTGCGGCAAGGTGAGTGGCGGGTACAGATAAGCAAAACAACCGGTCAAAAGTACATAGACGGAGTAAGCAAATGAATGAGGGAATTATCCTAAGGTCAAGTTAGTTTCAACATGTTCTGTCTGACTGCCGCTCCCACTCCAGTGCCTGGTGCCAGGAAAAGACTCACCGATGAGGAACACAACAGCTTTATTCCAAACAAGAGAGAACGTACGAGTGCAAAAGTCACACCGGCCCGACGCTATTTAAATGGGACTTTCTGACACTGATCCAGGCTGTCTGATAGGCGTTAGTGAACACCCATCAACATCGATCGTGCCTCTGTGAAATGCCTGAACACTGATCACATTCGGTCGTGCTTCTGTGGCGTGCCTGAACACTCATCAGGCTTTGCTGAATTGCTTGAGTGATTGACTAGCCTGGATGCTTGCCGGCTTCCTTATTGAGATTTTGGTGGAATTCTAGGGTCTCAGTGTGTTTCGGGCTTTCTGGGGCGACTTACAGCAAACTGACTGACAGTTTACTTCATGGTAACGAATTCGTGTGACTGCAACGTTTGCATTGACCAGTTAGAACGTCCGGCGTGTCCACAATTCAGTTCGGCGACGGACTGGAAATGTAGGCTAAAGTACCATCTATAATAACGGTCACCAGTAACACGGAACTGATTCTATCGCTAAAGAAATCGTACATCGTCCACACTTTTACAATGTTTTCTCTGTGTGTGGGGCGTATATGGAACCCATACAATACTATATTGATCGTGTATTTATCATTCGAAGAAGCGATAGTCTAATAATATCCGCTGTACTGCTTGAATGATTGCTATTCGACAAGTTGGTTGCTCAACACTTAGCTTGTTACCGTCTGTCTCCAAGAGCGATGACTTCTGGGAACGACCGTTATCTATACGAAGAATTCGCTCTTTAACTATGGAAGTTTTGGACTTTTTGTTTGCAACGTATTTTTTGCGCGGTACTTTGAAACCACATGGGCCGAGAGAATTTTTGCCACTTAGTTATGCTTACTGAGTCTGTAATTCCGACTTTAAGAAATGTGGACAACTGTGAGTAATTTTTGGCATAACAAATAGATCAAGCTGACCGGTTTCAACTTGATCGTGCGCAGTTTCAAAAGGATATCATGGCCGCAGCGTCGAAGAGTTTTCACCAAGCTTATGAGTGATTCTTCCCATCATAGTATTATTTATTTCCTAATGTAACAAGTCAGATCCAGTTTACGGACATCAGTCTGCATGTTGACACCCCGTAAGTAGGTAAAACCCTATCAAGTCTATGAATATCACTTGCCCCACTTGCGTTTACTGACCTTGCTGCCACATTTTTGAACCTCGACGTTTTCTGTGCTGACAACCTGACAAGTTCCGCATGTCAAGAACGTCAACTACACATGAATTGCTATTGAGCCCAATTGTTGTAAGACGTCTGGCTTTGTAACTACGTCTACAATAAAAACCGTTCACAAGCGGGATTGCAAACCTACCGCCTTGTGAGGTGATTCTGATGCTGAAAACTCGGAAACTCTATTACTGAGTCATTTTAATTTCGTCATTCGACTAATACTTTGAAGGAGAACGAACAGAACTATGCAAAATCATCGATTGGGGTCAATTCTCTAGTTTGGTCCACTTCAACCCTGTTAACCGAGCGCACCTCAATTCGGCCCATTCGCTGATCCGTCAGTCAATGCAGGTGCTCGTTCGTGATTGGACAGCTCGCTCCACCAGATGATTGTGTTTCCTGCACATGATTGGTTGTTTCCCCTATTGATTTGTTTCACGCCTCTGTACGGTCACGCGAACGTTTCCGCTCGGGGCATTCTGATTTCTCGGAGGTTATCACAGTCAACAACAGAGCAGGTCGTAAGATTGTTGGCGAAACCAACCACTTAAGTTTCAGTTCTGTTCCCCTTTTGCACAAAAGATTCCAATGTGTCCGTGATAGAAGAGAACGCTCGGGCTGTGGTTACCACAGTAAAAGGGCCAGACGTATAAAATGTATACAATCATTCGCCGCGGATGACACCGGAAAGAAGCAAAGCTTTGTAACTGATAAGGTGATTAGAGCCCAACACGTGTATTGCGGACTGTAGACACTGCATATGAAAATGCGTACAGAGGAGCGAGAGGGGAATGAGTTCTTGCTCGGTACTGTTCAGCTTCCAGTTAGCAATTATCTGTCACTGAGAATTTTGTAATCACTTCACTGTTGGTTGGATAGCTACCTACTTAGTTTGAAGCATATCCTGGCCCAAACTCTGCCCGACAATTTCAGTGTTTGGACGCTTCTCTTTTTTTGGCAATTGCATTCACATTCTGAAGCTGGTTTGAAGGTCTTTGCCTTGGATTAGAAAAAATGCTTCCAAAGCGTGTCTTTTTTCGTTTGCTTAACACAAAACACAAAATATTCGCCAGACGCTTTTGAGAGGGTGTACTGCACGGATTTCTTCTGTCTTGGTATACGCGATAGTGAAATAGACAAATGATACGGAGTATGGCAGGTTTAATAAATGTGTTTGCAGCAATCAGTAGTTGTGCGTACATGGCACACTCACCGCCTACCGGGTTGTTTTGTCATTTTCACCGATGCATGGTAGCTTTGCCTTCAGAATCTGCAAACAACTAGCTCGGATTCTTGATTGATTTCACCTGCAGTCTCTACTAGTCCAATGAGCTGAACAAAATCTTTTAGCAGCAGACACTGTCGGAAACGCAGACTCTGGATGCCCCGAAACAAGCAAGCTATTCCGAGGAGCTCATCTTCCCTAATGCAAGCTTGATCACGTGGACGTGCACAACATACAGAACCATATTGATTATTAGGGTCTGTCTTGTGTGCTACTAGAGTACTCATCGGTCCACCCTGTGAACACCTGGAACGTAGGCTGCATGCTTCTATATTGGAAGAACCAGCTCCGAACGTGACTGGACTACACAACAGCCAATGGAATAACCGTTTTTGTCAAGACAGATTTCATTGGTTGTTCTTCACTTGCCCGTGACAGATGAGTTTTACTTTTAGCACTACTTTTTGGCCCGCCTAGAACTTTCCGCGTGAGCTTTATGAACAGCCTGTTTTCGGCTGCGCATGACACGCGTCAGTGATTAATAGATCAGCTGGTTCGTACGTTCATTGGCCTTCTGGTTTGGCTAAGCGCACCAAGCCATTAAGCGGCTATCCAGACTCGGGTTCACGGTATTTAGAAGGCATTAAGAAAACTGTGGTCCACGGCATTCCATTAGCTAATTAGTATCTACCCGATAGTACAATCCTATGAATGGTAAAATCGTATTACCAACAGGTCATCAGGTAACACCCCGGAGCTGTGTAAAGACGCGAACAAAGCTGTAAAGACAGTGGTACTGCGTTGTGCTGAAACCTAAATAACTAGATGTGTGCCAGTACCTTGTTGATAAGTAAGTACCTAATGCCATTGTCTGCTGCTACGCCATCGTTTCTAGAGCAGTTGGCGGCTCGCAATAGCTTTATCGACTCTACCTTCTCGAGCATAAATCAGAATCATAGTATGCAGAAACTGTCTACGACCCTCAAGCATGTTAAGATCCTCAACGGACTGCCGAATGTTGACCGGCAAAGCCGACTTGCCTGCCAGAAAGACTGCTGAATAACACGACCAATGAATGTTTACTTCCTTACTGACCCTATGTCGATGAAAACTGGCCTGTTAGACTCACGACACTAGCTATACTATAGTCCTTGTGATATCATTGATGAGCCTCAGCTATCCTTATTCTGCCGGTTGGCTGCCTTAATGATCATTAAAACGCACAAGATGCTAAGATAAAGTGTTTCCTTAGGTGATTGTGGATTTTTTTGTTTTTGGGAAAAAAATCTCGCATGTGATGTCGAGCAGAACAGATTCACGGAAACTATACAAACGCAACCGTCCCACCCAATCGCGTACTGACGAGGTATCCTCGCGTAATGACGAAACGTTTACCAGCTGACTGCCAAGCTCGGAGAACATGCCAATAGTCAAACAACCTTTAATTTTGCTTGCCCAGAATTCCACTCCTAGTGACTCAATTTTTTGGTGTTTCTTGGTGGACTAAACTTGTGTGTGAAGTATGAAGTGCTTCCGGCTGAAGCGCGGTAAGACGACATAGTACGAACTAGGCTTCGGTTGTGAATCAAAGCGCTCCATTTGGACACGTTTCGCAGGGACATGGTTTTCCGAATCATCATTATCATCATCATCATCGCCATCGTCATCATCATCATCGACAGCATGACATCAGTGTTCGACACCGATGCTTCACTACCGTAGAGGGTATTGTTAGCTGTGAATGTCATGGTTGTACGAGGGCTGGGATAGTCCCAGGGCGCCCACACCTAGACAGGAGGACGATTAGGGTCCTGGACCAAAGCCTTTGGCTCAGAAACCCAACCGCAAGGCAGCGGTGTTTGGAGGGAAATGCAAATGCATTACCATTTCTACGGAACACGTCACCACGTGTTCCAACCCCCGACCTGGAGGGCTAGAAAACTGTGTCGTCAGGGCTCTAACTGTTGACCAACCTGGTATGCGAGACTCTGTGAGTGTCGCGGGGATATCCCCAGTATAGATCGGTGGATCGCTGAGGTGCGCAAACCGTCACACCAGGGTAAGGTCCAGTCTCTTCGAGACAGTCTTCTGCATAGTTTCGGGATGGACTGATTCGGACTCACATTCGACAAAATTGCACGAATTCTCTGTGTTCTCTTGGTAGTGTTAATCTTCACTAAAGAGGATCATCACCTATTTTTGCCTTGATATAGAATCTCGGATACGGCATACTCTCACGACAGCAGTTACTGTCTCCTGTTGACGATTGCAGGAATGTAGCAGCAACTCGTGTGCACGGCGAGCAACACCGAGTGTTGGTTTTTCTCGACTGCCAGCTATAGACACAGCGAAATCAGTTTCTGAGGTTCCCAGATGCTGTTTGGCAGGACTCTGGTCTGTCTGAGTATTCTGGAAGGAGATTTCAC